CTGTGAGAGCCAGAAATCTTGCTTGTTTGTAGGTGACCAAATACTTATTTTCCACCATAATTTGCAAATAAATTCATTAAAAATCCTACAATGGGATTTTCCGGATTTTTTTTTCTCAATTTGTCTGTCATAGTTGACGTGTACCTATGATGAAAATTACAGGCATCTCTCATCTTTTTAAGTGGGAGAACTTGCACAATTGGTGGCTGACTAAATACTTTTTTTCCCCACTGTAAGTGGAGAGATAATTATGAAGAAGAAGTGTTGTTATGAGGACAAGAAGTAGAAGCTGTTTCACCTAGTAAAAGGAAGTATATTTTGTACAACGATATGAAGTGGAAGAGGGTTATGAGTGATTGCTAACTTATTTTGAGTAATGTTAGAGGGAAGATAAGGGAGAATACTATCATGGAGGTACAGGATGAGTTCTTTGATTTTAATGGAAGACAAGAAGATATATCTGATCAATACCGCTCGTTAGGGAAGAGAGAAACTAAATGGAAGGCATATGGATTTGATTCTTCTGTTTTGCAAATTAAAGATGGATGGGCAGGTAGGAATCTTTGGTTCCAGCAGTTAACTCATTCTGTAAGATCAGTGAGGAATCTTGAGGGTCCATGTCTGTTGAGAATTCCAGCACCAGGCACATGGGGTTCTATCTTAGAGACGGTGGCTAAACCTCTATCAAGTACGTGTCAATCTTATGCTTTATCATGGCTGTTGTATCAGCAACAATCATTAACAGATACAATAATGTCGTTGTCAAAGCATTTGTTTAGGCCTAGGTTTAAGTGTTCTTGGTTAAATGAATTACCCTATGTGAATGTGTTAGATGGGAAGGAAAATCAGTTAACAGCGACTCCTGAAGCATTGGAGGTGAAACCAGTGAGGGCTAAAAGCTGTTTTTGTTCTAATAAAACATATGATGGAAAGGGTATGTTTATGGGAATATCAGATTGTGATGATTATATGATGACTTTGGGTAAGCATGAACATAAGGTTAGTGATGAGAAATATAATGTAACTTTTTATGTTCCAGTTAGTAAGAAGAGCAGGACTTTGATGGTGAAAGATCAGCTTTTGCCTGGTAATGTGACTATTGGGAATTTTAGAGATATTTGGTGGGTTTGTGGTGATAAAGCGTATATATTCTTACCCTATGGATGGACAGGATTTTGTTACATGTCGACGTTGAAGCTTCCATATGAGGTTTTTACCATTAAAAGAGGGGAAGCACCGGACACAGATAAATCTGAGTCTAGGTTTGGAAATAGGGTGAAAAGGGACATGGCGAAATGTCATAGTCTGGAAGCCTACCATTGGAGGATAAGTCTAGGAGAGAAGTGGGGACTGGGACTTTTTCCATGGTATGGTGTAACATTTTTGGCAGATCACATTGATAATATTACCTATACTTTGCAGGGTTTTGCAAATGAAACGATAAGAGGGTTTAACTTTCTGTCGAATACTCAAAGAAGTCACAGACTGACGCTGTTGAAACATGACATGGCTCTTGACTATATTTTAGCAAAACAAGGTGGCTTATGTTTGGCTATGAACTTGACGGGGGATGATTGTTATACTTTGATCCCAGATAGTTCCGATAATATCACTAGTGTTATAGATGCATTGAAGAATATAAGGGATGCGTTTGGTAGATCTGAAGGAGCTGGATGGTCAGCGAAGGCTTGGTTGCAAGATCAGTTAGGCCCAGTGGGAGCAGTGATAGTTCAGATTTTAGTAGCAGCTCTGATAGCGCTGTGTGTGATGTTTTGCTTTTGTACTTTGTTATTGACTTTTGCGACGGCTATGATATTGAGATGGGTTGGAGTTGTGATGCCTGGAGAAAACACTCAGATGCCGTTGTTAATTGTTACTGATCTAGATGAAGATGAACAAGTGGGACTGGATGGAGTATTGATGGATAGATATCCATTTTGAATATCCGATGATTTTTCACATGTTTTTAAATATTAGTGTGATTTTAGTATTTTGTGATGAATCAAAGGGGGGAAATGGAATGTGATTCATTTTATATATCATTTTATATATCATTTTTAGTTGATATTGATGTTTTAATTTGAATGTGTTGTTTTGCAAAAGATACTGTTTGGTCTTTTCTTTTCTTCCAGAAGCATATGGGGGAATGTGTAGAGGGGATTCAAATACTCAAACATGGACAATATGAAGGGACAATATGAATGGACTGGAGGAAGTGGAACAAGGAAGGTGTGGAAATGTTCAGATTCCATCATCGACGTTGCATTGGAAGTCGACACTGCTGAGGAGATGAAGTGTAGTGGACTACATTCCAGTGTCTGCAATGATATATAGACATATTTGCATGTGTAATACATAATTTGTGTCATATTCTTTCTGTATACATTTTTGGAGAATTATATTTGCTGTTATTGGGTACATGTGGGGATCTCAGATGTTTTTGTTTATTTCGTTGATGCTTAGGGATATTGGGTCTAGGCAGGGATAGAGAGAATCCACAGGAGGGTCCGATGGGTCGACCAGCCTGAATGTGGACATTTTTTATTGTATTTTGTTTGCTGAGGCTTTCATGTGTATTCAAATTGCATCATAGTTTAAAATGCATTGATAAAGATTTATGAATTGATCTGGAGTACTTAGGTGGTTGCCTGGGGCAGAGGGGCCGTGAGAGAATTTTACTGTCTTGATTGATTGATGGATATTTGGAAAGAAAGCTGCCAGACAGGTTTTTCGCTCTCACACTCCATAAAGATTTGTTCATATTTCATAGAAATGTATTTACACTCCATAGAAAAATGTGTTTTTGGTTTATTGTTAAAGATACTCAATAAGAGAAATTGTTATTTGTCATAATCCTATTCTTTTTGTTTTCGAGACTTAATTAGTCTCGAAGGGGGGAAATATGTAGTGTTTAAACAGTTTATGACTTTGTTGATGTTTGCAAATGGTGTGTTAGAGGAAGTCTGTTAGGTGGCCTCCTGGGATTGGTTTATGGGAAAACACCCATATTATGTTACATAGGGCATAGGATATAAATACCACGGTTAAAACAAAGGAGGAGAGAACAACATATTATTTTGAGTCCGTTGTTCTCCAGATGCCTGCAGATGTCTGTACATTTTCGCTGAAATCTTGTGATATAAATAAACCTTTATAATCAAAGTACAGTGTAAGCGGACTCCTTGGTCTCACAGCATAATTGGCATCATTATTTAGATACCACAAGACCCCGACTGACTTCCCCCCCAAAAAAGCGACCGCTTATGACGCTTATGTCTGGAACCGTCCCTGCTCCCATGACTGTTATGATTATTTATTTACAAGTTAATTACAATTTGTTTTAGCACCATCTGTACCTGATAGGGCATATCTAGTCTCACGTGCGGAAGTAAGCCGTCTGGTGCGAGAGACTCATTGCGAGAGAGACTAGAGCAGACTCAGTAGTTCTGACTGAGCGCACATTTGAGCGCCCCAGGACAGTCCATTTATCATTTATGCTATGGAATCCTGTGATTTTATTGGGGCAGTTCGCCCCTCATAGTAAATAGCTGGCAAAACAATCCAAGCAATTTTCGCATGGCCTATGTGCCCGCGGAGCTGCTGGCAGTCTCTGAGGGGGGAGGTGCAACTCATTAGGAAGGTGTTCTTAATGTTTTGTACATTCAGTGTATTTTTTAAAATTGAAATATTGTATTTTTGTTTGTTTTTTACCAACTGCCAAAATAAAGGCAACACCAACATTACCTGTCTTAATATGGCGTTGGGCCACCACGAGCCACCAGAACAGCTTCAATGTTCCTTGGCATAGATTCTACAAGTGTCTGGAGAAATGTTGATGGTGGTGGAAAACGCTGTCTCAGGCGCCGCTCCAGAATCTCCCATAAGTGTTTAATTGGGTTGAGATCTGGTGACTGACTGACTGACACACACACACACACACACACACACACACACACACACACACACACACACACACACACACACACACACACACACTTTAAACCCCCCCATGCTTCTTTGAGACCACTCTTTCAAAGTCAATGAGATCTCTTCTTCTAGCCATGTTAGCCAAAATAATGGGCAACTGGGCCTTTTTATACATGACCATAAGCATGATGGGATGTTAATTGCTTAATTAACTCAGGAACCACACCTGTGTGGAAACACCTACTTTCAATATACTTTGTATCCCTCATTTACTCAAGTGTTTCCTTTATTTTGGCAGTTACCTGTAGGTTATATAAAGACCTATAATGTCTGTGTTAACAACGGGACCTGAGAGTCCCTATAAGAGGATATAATCTGCTGTACACACACACACACATACATTTACACTTTTCAAGTGCCTTCATATGTAGGATTATGCTCTTGACAGGGTTAGAAATATGAAAGAACTCCTTAGGGTTCTACGTTCTAACTTTCATCAGACAGAAAATAATAACAAATCCATATGGATTCCTCTGTATGAAATATGAAAATGAAATGTATTAAAATGTAAATGAGTTTATAAGGATGGGCTTGTGTATCTCATTATTAATCTGTATCAGACATGGCATGTGTGAATGACGTTTTGAGTTGTTAACACAAGAATGATGTCCTTGTCTTGGGAATGTGCTCTGTTCATTGTACTGGGGGGTCATGATGTTGTCTGACTGACTCTTAGAGAGGAACAAAGATCTGAATGTCCTCATGTGGGTTGTTTTGATTGTGTGTGTGTGTGTGTGTGTGTGTGTGTCCTGAGGAGTTCCCCTCCATCCCATCAATTATGTGTTTACTTTGCAAGAGGAACCTTGACAGCCAAAGGTTAGGTTTAGGACATGGTGGCTGAGAACTTTTATGTAACGTAACAGAAGACTAGGTCTCACGTCACGGATTCCCCATACATTCGAAATGCCTGTACTGTACAACTCACATGGTTTACTATTTAACACAACGTGATCAACGTGCCACACTCTTGGCATATGGTCACGTTTCTTAGTTTAGTGCCAACTCATCGATCAATGAGAGGCCGCGAAATCTAAGTAGTGGGCGGTCTAGATAGACAAAAGAATGTGACGTGTCCACAACTCTCCACACTTAGAACACGACGAGACGCCCACCAACTTCCAAATATGGATAGGTGAGGTATAACAATTCTGGATTAGAAGACTATTTTTTTGTCCGCTCCTGCTTTTCACCGCCGGTAGAGCATTGTTGGTCATTCTAAAAATTGCACGGTCTCGAGCAAGAAATCGTCACAGCGGGTTCTCGTGGCATTCCTCCCTGTATGTGCGCTAGCTGACAGGGGTGTACCATAAATCTAGTCCCGTGTACAGCACCGTGTATATTTGTACTTGCGGACACTACACCAGACAGACAGACTGTGGCGCGCGGAGACTGGGAACGTTCGGTCACAAGGTAGGGTCGGTTGGGCAAGGGCACGAAATACATTTGTACTGTTTCAATCATTTCTATGCATTGTTCTGTAATGTAATCGGTGCTAGCTAATACGTTTGAGAAAACTGTAGCTTGCTACGTGTAGTAGTCCGTAATAACCAAGTAGCTAGCTAGCTAGCTAACTTCAATAGCTAGAAATTGGAGGAACGTTAGCTAGCTAGCTATTATGCTAAAACTGCAACTAGCTACTGAAATATGATCCTCCTAGCAGCAAGGACAATAACAATATATGAAATATGATCCTAGCAGCAAGGACACAGAAACCGCAAGATTCTAGCAGAATAAGAAAATAGAGAGTAGTCTACTCTACCCACCCCAGGTCTGACGTTTTCAGTGTCCTACATTGGTGGGAACGACATGCTATGATTGGCTGCAAAACTGGAAAATGTTTTCTAGCCAGTTGGCTGGTACCGGCAAGATGTCCAAATGTATTGCGCCCCCTAGAACGGAACGAATGAGTAGTAATAGGCATGTAGTAACCATATCATAATGCTGACATTTATTTTGGTGCATCCCAGGTTCCCTATCCATTCTACTAACTACACTGATGTGGGCGTAGTAGTCTGGGTGAGTGACAAGACCATTGAAAAGAAACAGAGACAAGATGAGTAGTACCAAGAGGAAAGCAGAAGGGCACTCTAGGAACATGGGAAAACTACGAACCATGAAGTCTGGAAGCTCCAGAACAGACTCAGAGAGAGACTCTGGCTTCTCAGGTTAGTCCTTCACATGGTTATTTAACTCTGATGTCTTCACGCCCATCTTTATCATCTTATTTCTACTACACTTCCCTTTATTGATTCCCAACTGTCTTCTCCCACCATATCATTGAAGTTGTCTTTATTTTCTGCTCCCGATAACACTGAATCGTACTTCTCCTCCTTCCCTCTACAGATGCCAGCACCATAGACCCGACAGATTCTGAGGGCTCGTCGCACTCGGTGTCCAAAAGAGAGGTTCAGCGCCCTGGATCAGTGTTGGGGGCACAACCCTCACAGCTAGCTGTGGTGGGGGGGTCCTACTCCAACATACCCCCCATGATCATCCAGCAGCCTCAGGTGGTCTTCCTACAACCTGTGGTCTCCCACCGCACCACCTCCAACCCCAAGGAGGCCTCCTCTAAACACCGGCGCCCAAAAAAGTTCCTTCCCATCCTCAGGTCCTACCCCAAGATTGCCCCTCACCCTGGGGACAGCTCGAGTTCCTCTGGGAGAGGAAGCTCTTGTTCTTCCTCCTCTTCTTCCTCCTCGGGGTCAGAGAGAGGCGGTTTGTCGTCCAGCCACCGGGAGCGCCATCACAACCACAGAGACAAACAGCAGAGGCAGCAGTCTGGTAGTTCTAGCTCTGTTTCTTCTGGTTCCAGCACCCCCAGTCTCCCTCCTCCAACTAGTTCTCTGTCCCCCTCTCCCCAGCGCAGGCTCACCCTCACCCTCTCCCTCACAGACTCCAGTGCCTGTAGCAGTCCTGCTAGACCCTCTCCCGCTGTCAGTAGATCAGAGTTCACCCCCGCTCCGTCCTTTACCGTAACCCCTTCTCACACCCTCAACTTTGAGCACCCTGAGAAACCCAAGTCCCAGCCCCTCTCCCTCCCACAACCCACCGCCGCCACAACCAATGACAACAGCTGCCATGACGACAACAGCGATGGCGATGACCACGACATCAAGCGTAAGCGCTTCTGCAACACGTACAACATCCTGTCCAAGTCTGGCCTGCTGGACATCACCCTGAGAACCAAGGACCTGCTCCGTCAGAACCGCAGGACACAGGGAGACCTGGACCGGCTCAAGGAGCACACCAACCTCTTCCTGCAGGCCCTGCAGACCGGAGACACCAGCATCTGGAGCAAGCTGCAGACCAGCCTCCAGGAAGAAGAGAAAGAGACAGAAGATAAAGGAAAGGGTAGTGGGCAGCAGAGCAGCTTAAAGGCAGATACAGCTTAGACAGGGACTAAGTAAAAGCAGGGTTTAATATGTTAGACTAGGGGAGAGACTGAGTTGAGGTGGGGGAGGCTGGGACTTTGGCTGACTGAGGAAGCTGGACCGGCAGAAATGTGCCCACAATGATCACACAAAAAGACAGATACTCTGACCTGCACACTAGTAGTAGTCTCCCTGCACTGCTGCCTGGTTCAGCTGCCCTAAACCAGGCCAGGCAAACTCCCTCTACACACTAGCCTGCCTGCTTTACCCTAAATCAGGCTAGGCACACTCCCAGTAAACACTGTAGCCTGCCTGCCTTACCCCCTAAACCAGGCCAGGGTGGATGGGAGGCTTCTGTACAATATGAAATCGGTCTATTCCCTATATAGTGCACTACCTTGACTCTATATAGTGCACTACTTTGATCCTATTTATAGTGTTTGGGGAATAGGGTGGTGGACGTTGCATTCTCTCTTTTCTGTTGTACCCAGCCTGGCTCACCATCTTCCTGTCAAACCGCCTTCCTGCTTCTTAGAAGAAGTCTTGTTGTGCTCTGAGTATCTCTGAGATAAGCCCTAAGGGACTTTTTTACTGGAAGCTGAAAGTGCCCACCAACTGACACTTATAGCCGTCATCGTGATGAGTAAAATAGGCCTATTTTGAAGAAGGCTTGCATGGTATAGTTAGTAAGAGTGCTGAGTGGGTACCTGAATTAAACTCAACAAAACCACAATTTTTTGATTAAAATATATGGTGTTAATTTAGGCTAAAACAAATATGTTTATTGATACGTTTTACAATACCCACTGGGCACACACTGGTTGAATCAACTTTGTTTGGAATGTGGAACCAATGTGGAATAGACGTTGAATTGACGTCTGTGCCCAGTGGGTAGCCACTTATACAGTAGGTTTCCACTGGAGCACATCTAAGGAGAATGGAAAGCAAGCAACACAGAATTATTTTTTCCTCATGAATTCATGGACTAAAGACAGTGATTTACATAAAGACTCCTTTAGGACTCTAGCGAGGATAGTGTTCATCAAAGCATTTTTTATACAACAAAGACTGAAGAAAACCCCCCAAATGGAAGATGGGCTGAAATCTTTTTGTCATAATTTTTGTAAGAGAATTGTCAAGGCCTTATCCAAAAGCTGAAGTTTATTTAAAACATTTTATTGTATTTGCACTCAAATAATTAGAAGGTAGTTCCAAAGGAATTTATATGGAGTGTTACTTATTTTCTCCAAGGCAGATATGAAGATTCATTTGAGAACATCGAACCTGCATAGCTTCTTTTTTTATGTTGCTAAAGGGATGTTTTTTTATTGATAGTTTCAATCGTTGTCCTTTTAGTCGATGTGCATTGAAATATAAATAAAAGCGCCTTTACTGTGCTGAACCAAGCGCTAATAACATATACTTAAAAAAAATTAAAATGGTGTGGGAAGTTACACTAAGTTGGCACAATTTATCATAAGGTAAAGTTATTTTTTAATCTGTTATTCTTTGTGTTTTGTAATAGACACAGCAACATACAGTATCTCTCTCTGTTCAATGTTTGGTCATTCATGGCCTATTTAGACAATTGATTATGTGGTGTCAAGGATGAAAAAAAGGAGTTAGACTCTCAGACATACAGTAGGCCTTAGTGCCACATCTTGATATTTTGTCCTGCAAAGCATCTTTAATGGTTTGTGTGCCTCAGAGTTGTTACAAATACAACGAATGTGATATCATTTGCTCATTTGCTAGATGTTATCTTCAGTGTAAATACTAGTAATAGGCCTCAGGTCAGCCATTTAAACATTTGAGCTTCCTGAATTTATCATCTTTAAAAACTGAATAAGACATGTATTTGCTTGTTACCACAGTTTGAATAGGTGAAAAGTGTAAATGTTTGCTATTGTTGATTGGAAAAATATTTTGAAACTTGACTCGAATTGTGAGTCTTGTATTTAAATGTTGGCAGCTTTTTCTATATCATTGTTATCCTGCCTCCTTATCGCAAAGACATACATTAATTGTGATTGTATTTCTCAATGTTTCAGTAGCACATCGGTAATAGATCGTGATTGATGACAAATTATCCATAGCCCTAACAGATAATTATGTACCAATGTTTTTCTATTACTATTCTTCTTTAAATTATACATTTTCTAAAAGGATGGACCTTGAAAACACTCTTTTTGCAGCTATGCAAATCAGAGCATCCTTTAGTTGAACGATGATCAGTAAATGCATTATCTGTGTTTGTGTTGCTGAAGTTAACCTTTTTTGTACTTTTTTTAAGATGCATTGCTTGCTTAATAAACTTTATTTCAAAGAACATGGTCTCTGTCTGGTGATGAAGCATGATACTATCTGAGTCAATATAGCTAATTGAGCAGAGAAGATGGATGAGATCACACACACTCCTCTATATTTGGTTATTTTAGATTGAAACACTAAGGAAGTCGTGATAGAGGAAACCAAGTGAACAGACAACTGACAGTAAAATAAAAACATACTAATAATCCAGAGATGGGATGTGAATGTTCTTCCTCTCACTTCAAAGCAGGAGCATAAGCAAGCATGTTGACAAGAGGTAAGAGTCCACATTTACATAAGAAAGCTATATTACTTTGTGGTAAGCGCAGCAATGCACACACGGCAGTATAGGTTACATGCGAATGATCCTAAATGCAATTAGCGGGAACACACCCTCACCGTTCTAAAAAGCACAACGCACATTTGAGCGGTTTCATGTGACAATTTAGAAAGAGGGGAGATCTAAAGATGCAAAAACTAGCATGGGGTTGCTAATATGACTAGGATTGTGTCTTTGGCTGCTGGACAATGAAAGAAAGTTGATTTGAAAACCAATATAACATGATAGAAATGCTGGTTTCGATGACATAAGGATGGCCTGATTTTGGCTAGGCTACTTTGAAACAAGGTAAGAAATGCCTCATAAAATGACATAAAACCTCCAGGTTCATGGTTAAATAGTAAGAAAATGCTGACTACCTCCGTTCAGATTGCAAGGTGGGTAATGTGTGCGGTGCGCAACAGGCACTGGCCTTTCTCTCTGCTCTTGTGACCATTTGATCTGAACGAACCGTGCCTTGAGTATGTCGTCAGAATCAAGCCTTTAATTATCATACATTACAGTGCATTTGGAAAGTATTCAGACCCCTTGACTTTTTCCACATTTTGTTACGTTACAGCCTTATTCTAAAATTGATTAAATTGTTTTTTTTCCCCTCATCAATCTAAACACAATACCCTATAATGACAAAGCAAAAACAGGTTTTTAGAAATGTTTGCAAATGTATTAAAAATAAAAAACTGAGGGGGCCTCCCGAGTGGCGCAGCGGTCTAAGGCATTGCATCGCAGTGCTAGAGGTGTCACTACAGACCCGGGTTTGATCCCGGGCTGTATCACAACCGGCCATGATTGGGAGTCCCATAGGGCAGCGCACAATTGGCCCAGCGTCATCTGGGTTAGGGGAGGGTTTGGCCAGGTGGGCTTTACGTGGCTCATCGCGCTCTAGTGACTCCTTATGGCGGGCCCGGGTGCCTGCAGGCTGACTTCGGTCGTCAGTTGAACAGTGTTTCCTCCGACACATTGGTGCGGCTGGCTTCCAGGTTAAGCGGACGGGTGTTAAGAAGCGCGGTTTGCAGGGTCATGTTTCGGAGGACGCAAGACTCGACCTTTGCCTCCAGAGCCCGTTGGGGAGTTGCAGCGATGAGTACTTTGTTGGAGCACCTTTGGCAGCGATTACAGCCTCGAGTCTTCTTGGGTATGATGCTACAAGCTTGGCACACCTGTATTTGGGGAGTTTCTCCCATTCTTCACTGCAGATCCTCTCAAGCTCTGTCAGGTTGGATAGGGAGCACCACTACGCAGCTATTTTCAGGTCTCTCCAGAGATGTTTGATTGGGTTCAAGTCCGGGCTCTGGCTGGGCCGCTCAAGGACATTCAGAGACTTGTCCCGAAGCCACTCCTGCATTGTCTTGGCTGTGTGCTTAGGGTCGTTGTCCTGTTAGAAGGTGAACCTTCGCCCCAGTCTGAGGTCCTGAGCGCTCTGGAGCAGGTTTTCATCAAGGATCTCTCTGTACTTAGCTCCGTTAATCTTTCCCTCGATCCTGACTAGTCTCCCAGTCCCTGCTGCTGAAAAACATCCCCACAGCATGATTCTGCCACCACCATGCTTCACCGTAGGGATGGTGCCAGGTTTCCTCCAGATGTGATGCTTGGTATTCAGGCCAAAGAGTTCAATCTTGGTTTCATCAGACCAGAGAATCTTGTTTCTCATGGTCTGAGAGTCCTTTAGGTGCCTTTTGGCAAACTCCAAGCAGGCTGTCATGTGCCTTTTACTGAGGAGTGGCTTCTGTCTGGCCATTCTACCATAAAGGCCTAATTGGTGGAGTGCTGCAGAGATGGTTGTCCTTCTGGAAGGTTCTCCCATCTCCACAGAGGAACTCTGGAGCTCTGTCAGAGTGACCATCCGGTTCTTGGTCACCTCCCTGACCAAGGCCCTTCTCCCCTGATTGCTCAGTTTGCAGTCTTGGTGGTTCCAAACTTCTTCCATTTAAGAATGATGGAGGCCACTGTGTTCTTGGGAACTTCAATTCTTCAGAATTGTTTTGGCACCCTTCTCCAGATCTGTGCCTCGACACAATCCAGTGTCTGAGCTCTACGGACAACTCCTTCGACCTCATGGCTTGGTTTTTGCTCTGACATGCACTGTCAACTGTGGGACCTTATACAGACAGGTGTGTGCCTTTCCAAATCATGTCCAATTAATTGAATTTACCATAGGTGGACTCCACTCAAGCTGTAGAAACATCTCAATGATGATCAATGGAAACAGGATGCACCTGAGCTCAATTTTGAGTCTCAGAGCAAATGGTCTGAATACTTACAGTACCTGTCAAAAGTTTACTAATTCAAGGGTTTTTCTTTATTTTTACTATTTTCTACATTGTAGAATAATAGTGAAGACATCAAAACTATGAAATAACACATATGGAATCATGTAGTAACCAAAAAAGTGTTAAACAAATCAAAATATATTTTAGATTTTAGATTCTTCAAAGTAGCCACCCTTTGCCTTGATGACAGCTTTGCACACTCTTGGCATTCTCTCAACCAGCTTCATGAGGTAGTCACCTGGAATGCAAGCTGCGGCTGCCGTGTCTGAAGAATGGGCTCCTCTCAAGGGGATGATGACAGTGCCTTTACGTGTAGTGGCTGTGCAACTAAATAAGAAAGTGCTTGGCGTGTGTGATGCCTGACGACTGAGCCGCAACCAATGCAGCCTGAAGGAGGAGAGCTTGTCAGTATTGTTATATTTTGATTTTGGAGTAGGGGTGTGCCGAGTACTCAGACAAAACGAGTATCGTAACG